CAAGCACTACGCTGTACTGCATATCAGTTATAATGTACATATAGTTAATTAAAAATGATAGGTCTAGGTGGTTTGTGAACGAAGGCCGCGATTTTAGCCTCCTTGAGACTCTTTTGCAACATGGGTTAGTGCTATAGTTTGATTATATTCATTTCAAAATAAGCTGGAAATTTTTTAGTCAAAGCATACATTTAATTATAAATACAAAGTCCGTGAAACCATAAATTATCAAGTTATAATGAAATGAATACTAAGTATGGTAGCATGTTGTAACCAAATAGTCAATGCAACTGTCAATGCATTGTGTCCAGAATTTTTGATGTGCGTAATTTTTATAATGTTTGTAAAATGGCTTCCTTTTGAGTTTTACTAATGCAGTTTCGGATGGAAACTCTCGATCTTGATAGCTCCTTAGTAAATGGTATTTTTATGTGTCGCCCCGAGTCTTTCCCGAGGCCGAGAGTATCTGGAGGCCACACCATCCAACGGAAAAACAAAGGCGGAGCCTTCAGTGCCCACGAAACCAAAATAAGGACTAAACAAATAACCAAAGTACTGTGGTTATTAACCTGCTCGAAATCGGACAGACATTTTTAAACCCTGTTGTTGACAAGGAGAGGCGCCCTCCTACACTTTTTTAGAAAATAACCTTTTAAATTATGAAATAATTCGGTTTATCTGAGTTCACTTAGCAAAATCTTGCTTTGTGAAGCGAGCATAATTACATACCAACAAAACTTCTTCCCTTTCATAGGGAAGTTAGTGCACTTCGAAGGATCATCAACCGGTTTACAAACTGAAATGTTTTTTCTCCGAAATATATAAACTGCTAAAATAATGCTTGTACTCTATGGTCTAGGTTCTTTATATTCCATATCAAAGTAAAAACAAAGTGTTTAACTTTTCACACGTCTTTACTAAATCAAAAGTGCATGAGCTACAACAAACACAACATATTTTGCATATAAAACGGCAGTTTTCTCTTTAACTTTAGCACTCTAAGATAGCTATGAGTGCTGTAGCTCCCCGAGACTTCCTTGAAGTGGAAAGAGGTCGTAATACTAGGGCTGAAAATGTATTGCCGACGTGCAGGGGGGGCTGGAGGGGGCTACTGGCCTTGCACAGGGGCCACATCGCCCAGCGTAAGTACAGTCGCGAGGCCTTGTGTGTCCACGCAACCAAAAGGTTGCGTTCACCAAAACTAAAGTGTCACAAGTGTCACTTTTCAACATTTAGCACACAAAAAGGAGATTCCGGAATTCTCATTTAAGCCAAATTAGATAATTATCCATTTTGCAATGCACATGACACGGATCTCATACGAAGGCCATTCAAGTGAATTCACTAATAACTCTACTTGCTAATCCCTGCCTATTTACTTATTTCCAACTTTATTTTAACATATAGAGTTTAATTTTACATTAAATGTGGTTCAGTGCACTCATAACTTCTAAAGTTCCTGTACTCTGATGCACTGGAAGTAGGCTTCAAAGCTGGAGCAAATGGAGTCACTACCCAAGCAGAATTACGGAAACTTAAAGAAGTTAGCTTTAACAGTCGGTGTTTGGTTTTTGTGTATTGTACCACTTCCGAGGGCTTCATGACCTCCCGGGCAGCCTCTTTTGGCGGTGTGGCTTTGCTACCTTGAAAAAAATAGCAGCAGCTGTTCCTGTTTTTTTTTGACCATGCATAACAGAAAGGCTCTTAATTGCTCCAACTAACTGAAGTAGAGTGATTAAGCGTTCATTCTTGATTTTTGGAATGTGCTTGTGTAACTTTGCTTCTGCAATGCGAGTAAATAGAATGATCGCAGCCACTGGTGGTTGGACCTGATGGGGGTTGTGTTAGTGTGAAGAGGGTGGTTGAGCTCTCTACATAATGAATGGAAAATCGAGTCAGAAACTCACATTACTTACCCGCATTACATTAAGAGGATATGTAAATTTTATGAAATCCTTACCACAAAAAAAAATGCAGTGTGCTTCCTGCGTTTGTTAGAATTTCTGAGTTATACCAGTTGTAGAAAAATAGCAACATTTCAAATAAAACGTCTCTCTATAATGAACCGCTTAAAGAGGGCAGGCTTGATGAGAGGTCAGCAGCAGCAAAACCAATTTTAACCGGCGGCTATTGCTAAATTTAGGCTAGCTAAAGCTTAATCCTCTCATTCAGGGTCTTTCTAAGTTACCATAATCTTTTACTCTTATTTGGAAGGGCTACAAGAAGTTACCTGGATTTCCCCACTTGTACTTTTGATGTGGAAATTAACCAGCTTAAAACCAATGCCAAAGCACTGGCTATACGGCACAGCTACCGTTATAACCAGAAGATTAGAGTCAATCAAAAATAAGAGACATTTGATTTAAT